CTCTGCTAATGTAAGGAGGTTTAGCAGTTCCTGGCAGTATGCTTTTGACAGATGCGTGGATAACCAAGAAATCCTCAGTGCGTTGAACGAAGCTGCACACTTGGCAAGTTGGGTTGTCGCACTCGGTAGCTTTGCGACTGGAACGTCAGAAGGTAAGATTGCGGCTCCAGCAACATCAAGGCAGAGGCTTGGTATCTACTGGCGGTGGAGAAGAAAGTAGCAATACGAGTGCCTAAGGAAAACTTACCGCTACAGAGCTTTATAAAGGACTGTGCTCAAGGTTTACTGTCATTGAGGATGCAAGCTGGTGTTTTCGACTGAATGATTTAAGGGCTGAAGTGTTTAGTTCCGGCCGCAATAAAGGTTTCTATTTCGCAAGGGAGCCAGGTGACTCTGAGACCGCGGGGTTTGGCACAGCTAAAAGTCCTGCTAACTGCAGCTTATTAGTACGGGTTACATACAGGGTAGCACCAATTCTTGGAGTTTTGACAGCACCGTCTTGATGATCCACAATTGATCATCGGGGCGGGGGAGGGGGATGCAGTGCTGTGCGGAGAGGGCTGACTGAGCACGGTGAAAGGAGGTGAGTTTCATCAGACTAGTTGATCCTCTCGTAATATAGGCGACCTACGTACGACGACAGTGTCCAGTAGCGCTAGTAGAACTTTGTACGCACCAATAAAGGACTTTAGACGGCCGACCGTTTCTGGCTCTGCTGAAAGACGCTAGGGCTGCAATTCGATGCTGGGAGGCCTGGAGGGTACCAGAGTTCCATATCCAGCCCAAGATGCACTTGGAGAGGGCCTGAAGCACTCTTTTCCAGTTGTGTAGTATTTCTTCTGGTGATTCGGCGCCGCAGTATGGATCGTCGACGATCTTGGCAACAACTCCTTCGTGAATAAGGTCTCCAAGACACATGGGTTCTTTTAAGGCAGTTTCTGAGCCTGGCATGCATGCCCATCGGTGAACAGGAATACATAATCAGTAGTGATGATGTGTCTCCACTGAGCGATTTGGCGAGGGTGGAGGCTTGCTGTACCTTCCCACGTCAGCAAAGGCGGTGACCAGGCTATAACCATCGTTAATTTTTCGACGAGGAATGACGGATTTGGCTACTCCCCAGTGAAGTTCACGTCGTCCGGTCTTTTTAAGACCCCGAGTTTCTCCAACTCATCAAATTTGTTTCACTAGTTTCTTCCAAGCATACTTGGGACGACGGCCCTTTGATGTGGTGGTTCAACAGGACTTATGTTCACCTTAGCCTCAAAAGGGCCAACGGCATCAGTATACGCAACACATCCTCCTCGGTAGGCGCTCCCGTTAGTCCGCAAATCGTCGACGAAAAAATAGCAATATCATTGACTTCGATAAAGGGGCTATCGGAAAGGAACTCTACATCCAAGTTTTTAACGCCTAGATCTTCAAACTGGAACACGTGTTGCCCGCGAGTGAAGGAGATCTTGGTTTCACAGATGACCTTTAGTGGGATGATCCATTGGCTTGATGGACGGACTGGGCATTCTAACAAATCTGAACTTTCAGCTTCTGAACAGTGGATAAACGGATCATGTTACCAGTGGCCCCAATGTCGATGGTAATACGGACAGGGTTGTGACGATAAAATGTATGGGCACTGGCGTACCTGGATTCTCAATGCACTGCCGTTCAAAAGTGGATTGACAGTGTGTTCCGAGTCTTGATTGATAGTCGAGAATCGAGGAGTCATAGATTCACCCTTCAATGATGGATTTACACTTACATCGAGCAAGATGGATTCCAAACTCTGCAGCGTCACGCAAGTGGCTGAAGGCTTCAAAGGGAAACAAAAACAACTTATGAATTACTAGGTCCGAGAACTTCGATCAAGTGGTGAAAAGGTCTGAGATCCAATTCACACTTTTCACATAGACCACAGTGCACTTTGTCCCCCCTTTTTTTCATAACCATTGTTTTTTTTAATTTCTTTTGGAACGGCTGTAATACCCACGAGAGATTGGAAACGATGGTAATGTGCAATTTTTTTGGGGGGGGTGGGGGGGGGGTAAAAAGGTGTATTCTGGTCTATGGGAAAATGGTTGTAGCTGAATTTCACACTTTTATACGAAATGTCAAGCCCCATATTTGCTGGCATTCTAATAGGCCATTTGCACAATGGCGTCATTTTATTACTACGACCAGGATCCTTGTCGTTTTTCCTTTCATATTCAAATTTGGTAATCCCAGCGAGGTTTGAATAACAAAAGCCTTAATTTGCACAAGAAAGCAAAGTCCTGAAAGATTCTGGTCGTAGTACTGAAATGACGTCATCAGGCCAATGGCCTATTACACAGCTAACAAAAGGATCTATTCTCTGTTTTCCAATTCCCCGTGGTACTTTTTTTTTCCACCCAAATACTACATGGGCCCTGTCGCAGGGGAATTTGAAAACAATAACGTATGCAAAATTGGGGGGGGGGGGGGGGGGGGCGAAAAAAGAGGAGCTTCCGCCCTTTTCCCCAAAAATTCTTTTTTCCCCCCAAAAATTTTTTCCCAAAAGTTTTTTTTTTTTTTTTTTGAACGTACATAAAAAAAAAACAAATTTGGGTGGGGGGGAGTATTTGGAGGGGGGTGCGAAAGGGGGGGGGGGCGGAGCGAAAAGAGTCAATTTTTT